CTGAAGACAAATATGTAGTTTCATGTTTTTAAACTAGCTGGCCTGTGTGGCAAGCTCTGTCATAAAGCTGGTTTTACAGCAAAATGAATCCCAAGGCATAGGACAGCAGTTAGTTTTTTTTTTTTTTAATACCAACAAATACAATGGAAAGAGACCAACAACTGTTTGTGGGACTTGGGTTCAAGCCCATTCAGTCTTTCTGAATATGCAAACTTTAACAACAGGTCACAAATATAACATGATTTCATGGGCGGTGTATTTAGTGAATGTTACTCAAACGGGACTCAGTTCCTGGGCTTTCAACTGTGCATTAATACACATTTGAAAAGTCATCGCCCAGTGCATGTGGCTCATTCATGTGTTTTAATAGTGTTTGGAAAACAATGTTGCCCTATGGCTCAGAGGATAAAGGCTTTAGCCACAAAGACAATAACTGCTGCTGGGTCAGTTTTGTGGATTTGTTGTCTTATCTTTAAATGCAGAAGCACACAGAGACAGTGCAACTGCAGTCTTCAGACACATCATTGTCGTAGATTATAATAACTGCTTGCAGAGGTGAGAAATGAGGCATGACTGCTTCTCCTGAGGAATCTCTGCCAATTTGTTTCAGGAAAGAGTTGTCCAGCCGTATTGACCCTGGCATCAGAGTGAAGGAGCTCGGGGGTTTATACATCAATTTTGATGGCAGCAAATCAAAACCTGGCTCCAGTTCACTGCAAAAACTAAAGGAAAAGAAGCTCCAAGATGAGGTATGTAAGTGATTGATTTTCCTTGTCTGAAGGTGATCTCTGATGCAGAATGAATAATGAACTTCAAAGTTATGCTAGGACGAGTAAATCCAATAATGCCTGAGATGGTGTTTTTCGTGGTTTCTCTCTGGTTCTTTTTGATTTTGGCCTTGTATCTCTGAGTTGGGGGGTTTTAACAGAGTGTGGTGGTTTTTTGTTGTGATCCACAGGTGATGAAGAAGAGTGTGATTGGACCAGACTTTGAAAAGAAGGATGCAGTGCCTCCATACAGTGAATCCAAACAAGCCTTAAAACTGAAACACAGGGTAACTTTTATAGTATAATGCTGTAGAGCTTCTGTGCTCCTACCTGCTGATGTGTCATCACCTGGATCATTTGTGCACTGGTGGAAGAAGTACTCAGATTGTTTACTTAAGTAGAAATACTGTAGTGTAAAAAAATTCAGTTACAAGTAAAAGACCTGGATTCAAAATGTGACTTACGTAAAAAGTACCAGAAGTACTTAAGCAGAATGGTGCAGTTCAATTTAATATATATTATTGGATTGTAGTTACTGATGCATTGTGAACATCACATTTAATGCAGCAGCTGGTAAAGGTGGAGCTAAATTTAACTACCTTATATTTGAAGTACTTGGGTAGCTTCTGCACCTCCCACCAGGGGGCAGTAAAGTCTTATTATACTGTATTTTGTTTGATAAATCTCATTCTGAAAACTTGTAACTAAAGTTGTTAAATACATGTAGTGAGCAAAGTACAATATTTTTCTCTGAAATGTAGTGACACTAAAGTAGCAGAAAATGAAGCACACATACCTCAAAATTGTGTTTAAGTACTTTAAATATACTTAATTACTGTTCACCTCTGTGTTTAGGGTAGTGTTGCCCAAGATCTCAAAACTATGTAAACTGTAGTCATCATAAATACAGTACCTAGCCTTTTATATCACATCCCTGTGCTTCCAATGCTTTTGAAATAACTGAATTTGTTTCCTAGGCTGAGAGAGAGAAGTCGACAGGAGATGGCTGGTTTAATATGAAAGCCCCTGAGATCACTCAGGAGCTGAAAGGGGACCTCCAAGTCCTGAAGATGAGAGGCTCCCTGGATCCTAAGAGGTTCTACAAGAAGAATGACAGAGATGGCTTTCCCAAGTATTTTCAGGTCAGTGAAAAAACAAGTCGGTTAAACCTTCATCTTTATTTAGAGACATGGTTATAAATGTTAATCATTCAACCAAGTATGTTTGTAGAGAGAATGAATGAACTGTATGAAGCTATAAATTGCTTTCATCATCAAACTGTGCCCTGTCTATAAGTAGAGTTTTAATGTATATGTTACACAGGTGGGTTCAGTGATGGACAATGCAGTCGACTTCTATCATTCCCGTATTCCCAAGAAGGAGAGGAAGAGAACCATGGTGGAGGAGCTGCTGGCTGATGCTGAGTTCAGACAGTGAGTTGAAATCTACAGGCACATAGTATGTCATGTCCATGGCAGGGTTTCAGGGGACATTAGTCTGCAGGTAGCAGCCTAACATAGCTCAGTTTCACTCTTGCATCAAATGGAAACTCGTTTGTCAATAACTTGAATGTTAGAGAAACTTGACCCCCCTCCACAGAAAATACACTCAAGAGCCACTTTATTAGGTACACCTATACAATTGTGTGCTCTTCACTGCAACTCTTCCGCCTTAACATCTGTTTATGATGCTCAAAATGTTAGTTTTTGGTGAAATTGTCATAAATGTAAACATTTAATTATATGTTTATTATTGAAGGTGCAGTATTGGACTACATTATAGTCAGAGGTGTTCCTAATATTCTGACCGTCTTGTGAATGTAGCTGGGAGGACAAAAATTAGACATCTCTGAATATAATGTAGTCCAGTACACCACCACCTCTGTGACCTCAGTAATAAATGTATACATTTGACAATTTCACCAAAACCTGAACTGTTTTGAGCTTCATAAACACAGAAGTTAAGATGGAACAGAGTGTATTTTACATTCATGTTGAGACATTGAAAATACAAATTGATATTGCTGGTAGATTCCCTGAGTATTAAGTAAAATCACTGTCAGATGAGGCGTTACTGAAGTACACACAGACACCGTCTGCTGTGACCCTCGCTGTAGCATTTAGATAGGATCACACATTTCAAACCTTTAACCATCACAGTTTTATAAAACTATCAAAACACAGTATATAACCACTGTAATCATTAATACAGCTGAAATGTCTGAACAAGTCACAGAACACAGCCCAACACCATAGCAGTTTTCACTAAACATGCCTGATCATGCACTGTATAAAACATCCAGGGTTCTGGATACAGGCTGTAGGGTCTATGTTAGCTCGACAGTATATTATCACATGGTATGGTTCGTCTCTGAGTATAGGCGGGTGCATAATGGAGACAGACTTGTTTGTAATTTTTCATGTGCTGCGGGAACCATGTATGATGCTATTGAAAGTAGTATCCCACATGGTATCACCACTCAGTTTGCAACTCGGCATTTGAGAACGTGCAGACACATACTTGTAAGTAGATTTGAGTGTGTAATCGTAGTAATGTGTACACTCTTGAGTCTGTGCTTTCAGATTTCTCCAGTTGTGTAAAAGTCTGTCAACACCAAAAGTTTTGGAAGTGCACAGAACAAAGTGCGACTGCTCTTCAGTTTGCAAATCAGAAGTTGAGCACACAGGCACAGATTTGAGAGGGAGGGAGGATCCCTGCTGAAATTATGTTATGCCCACAATTTTGTCCTCCTCCACTCAAATCTGTATTTCTGCTTTTACAAATCCATGCCTGCACACTCCAATTCTGATTTGCAAACCAAAGAGTGCTCACAACTTGCTTTGTGTGCTTTCAAAACCTTTGGTGACTTTCACATAAACCCCAGTGAACAAATCTGAGCGTGCAGACTCGGAAGCATTACGTGATCAAATCCTATTCTGTCCTTACAAATGTGTCTGTGTGCTGAGTTCTCAATGTGGTTTGTACGGCCCCTAATGTTTTGACAAGGATTTACTTCACTTAGGGGTTTTTCCTTCTTCTCCACCAATCTATAAATATAAATACAGCTGGAAAATAATTTAGCAAAGCAACACTGATGAATCCCCAAATGCACCACTTTGGAAAAGTGCAGACACATATAAACTATACTATTCTCTTCCCAGCACCAACAAGAAGAAATATCAGCACATAATGATGGAGAGAGCAGCAAAGGGGGCTGGCAAGAGGCACAAGAAGAAATTCCACAAGAGGTGAATCTGAAAACTTGGTGTGATGAACACTGACATCGAGTGACGTTACACAGATCCTGTTAAAACAAAGTCCTTTTCAACAGGCAGAGGGTTGTTGTCAGATGTGAGACTTTAGTGACTCCACTGGTAACTTTATGTGGAGACCCTTTATCTTTGGAGATGGATGATGTTTATGGGTCGGTACCTGAAGAAGCAGAATGTATAAGTTCTGTACAGTAAATAGTGTACACACCTATTTACAACAGAAAATGTTTTACTCCAATGTAGCTGTATTTTGCAATAACTGTTGTACATTAATCACTGTCCTAAAAAAGAAACGTCAGATGAAGATTAAGATATGCTTTTGACTAGCACCAATGTTTGTAATGACTCTCCTAAATGTAGGTCATGAGTTCTGAAAATACAGCTTGTACTACACATCATGTCCTAATGACCAAAACAGAACATTTATGTTTTTTGGTATTTCTGGAAACAAACGCCACAAATTGACTGTCAGCCCAGAGAGGAGGAGCTGCGTTATGGTTTTTGATATTTCTGGAAACAAACGCCACAAACGGACTGTCAGCCCAGAGAGGAGGAGCTGCAGGTGACCATTGCTACAATTGCAATCGCATTGAGATCTATGAATGACTAGCATGTAGCTAAAGTGAAACTTCACTCAGAGCAATGTTTGAAACTGAATCACTGCTAATAGTACAAGGCAAGTTCAAATTTGTACATAACTTGCAATGATATACTGTTGTATTTAAGATGGAAGAAAAATTTAACAAAATATACAAATAAACTGACATTGTGGTACCTACAAACTGTATTTCTTCATATGCATCAAATGGGAAGGACAATGTTAACACAGGAGGAGGCAGAGTTAGTGTGGATGCTGAGTAAGCATCTACACTATTGTTTTCCTGTTCTCTTATTCTTCTGTATGTTTTTTGCCGCTCAACATTATAGTGACGCCCATTTTAACCACAAACTATAGTAAGGCATATTTTTCATAGATGTACTGGTCATTACTGACAGCACATGCATACAAACACACTGCAAAACTGGCTTATGTTAACGCTAAATGTCTTTGTCTCCTGCTCTTTCACTGAGGATTTATTTTGTTCTTCCTCTTAAATCTCCTCAGCTTCTCTTGGCTGCTGGCTCCCAGTGGCTCTTGGCTACCCTCTTGTCTCTCTTTTGTGTTGCGAGAGTTGAGCCTTTAACAGCTGCAGCTTACATCCACCATGTCTACACCCACACACACACACAAAATGCCACTTCTTTATAGTTGAGCCAATTTCACACACGGCTTTAAAGAAATTAGATAACTCTGTTTGGTTTCACCATCAGGGCATTTAAAAAAGAAAAAAAAAACCCACATAGCCCAGCTGATGGGTGGGAGGGAAGTGGTGCTGCTATGTTTCTGAAAGTAACCCCTGCAAATGTCTTGTTTTTCCAAAAAGGCAGACAGTGACAAATACGACTCAGCAGGTGCTTGGGAAGGCCTGAATTTTAACTGAACATCTAAGAATGATACACAAGGATATGTCTATGAGACGGTTCGACTCACTGAATAATAAAGCCTTGAGGTCAAGAAGGTGAATTAGTGTGTGTGCATCCTTTCCTACAGACAACATAGTAACTGTCATCTGCAGACGTACTGGTTTAACAGTGAAAAGTCTCTGCATAACTGGGAGTTGTTGGTCATATTTTAGACAGATCAGAAGGGTTAAAGTTCAAAACTCACTCTGTGGTCCCAGGTGCTTCTGTGCGTCTGCAGAATCCTTTGGATTCGACTGTGGATCTCCTCCCAGTAAGATGGACTGGGCTGACTGGTCTGGAACCTGAGGAACACAAACACCAAAAAAGGTCACATCAAAAGCCATTAACAACTTAATTAACTGAGTCTCAGTCACAGATACCTGCATTAAGTTGTGCCAACAAAAAACACTGTCAATAGGTATACAATTAAATATATTAATCCCATGACTAACAATTTGATTATCAGCTGATCCAGTGGTTCCCAACCTAGAGTTGGCACCCTCCACAAAGATGATTTAAATTGGCCTCTAATCTTAACTTCTTACCTGGTGGGTTAATGACTAATTTTATAAGCAAGGAAAAGTTCTGGTTGAGTTGGTAACACCTAGTGACGGGGTTAGAAATAAACAGCTTTTAAAATGAAATGAACGGCTTTTTAAAATAGCAAAAATGACCACCAGGTTCCCAGAGCTGATCTAATGTCTTCAAATGTTTAGTGTGACTGACACACCAGGACTCAAAGATATTAAGTTACAACAGCTATATGAAATTTAAAGTGTAAAAAACCAAAAAAAAAAAAACCCCAGAAAAGCAGCAAATCTGTAAATTAGCAGAGCTGGAGAATAATTAGCATTTTTGCATGAAAAATTACTTCAACAATTGATTATTTATGCTGATTGACTACTGTTTCAGCTCTAAATCATATTACTTACAAACAACGCCTGCTTTCATACTGAAATGTTTTGATAAATATCCATCTAGTCCACTAGTCTGTGCTGTAACCTAAGACAGGAGCTGCTGCAAAGCTGAGCCTATCAGGATCCTGGCTCAGCACACACACTTTAGTATGTACTGTTCTTGACAACATACTTTTAACACAGCGTTTCCCCACCTAAGCATTTATATTGATTATGGCCTCCCTACATACAGTCCTTTGTGCAAAACAACTCATTTCACAACTGACAGAAAACAACAGTACATTAGATCTGGAGGCATAAATGGCCCTCATCAACACAATATAAATGTCTACACAGGCAGCTATGAAGTAACAGCACTGACAGACAGAAGTGAACAGTAATAAACTGCGGTATTTCCTCTGATCCGTGTCTATTTATTGGAAGTGGAGGGGTGTTGACTGATGGACTGACTGGTGTCTTGGCCTGGTGCGCGCAGTGGGAATGGAAGCTTTTCATCTGTAATCACATAAACTCACTACCTGCTTCAAAAAGTCATCAAGGACAAATCATCCAGAGACATGAATAGACTGAGACTTCAGGGCTTAGGGGGCAAACGTTGCCACTGGCATCTGTCATCTTCTTTATAGATCAAAGACTGGTGCTAAGACGTGCCCCTCTCCCTGTCGGAGGGAATCTACAAAGGCCCGCTCTAATCTCCCATCCTGCAACTCCTGTCGCGTTTTCAATTGAGGGGAAAGTATCATTCATTTCCTTGTCTATTGTCTATTGATTTTAATGTTTACTTATAGACTGAGCAGAAGGGGAGAGGAGAGCAGAAACAAACAAACAAAACAGAATACTGGTCCCCTTGGTGAGTTTAACTCACAGCTGCTGTGATCGATGACAAGGTCCCTCTGAATGTATTAAAGCGTGCGTCGGGTCAAATGCATCAGACTCTAGCTGAAACACAAATCAATACCATTTTCCTCTTTGTTTTCCCTTCTCTCTGCCTCCTCTCAGTAATGAACAAACATGACAAGGCATCAGCTTCTGTAATTTAAGAGGTGGAGGGGAATTCATCCTGCCTGTCGAGTGTGATCAAAATTAAAGATGGGATGTGTAAGAGCGGAGACACACATACACACAAAAAAGCGGCAGTGTATGACTAACGTCTCATGGGACTGTCATATATTTGCTGTACACTGTAATTGGAAACTCATACAGGTGTCATTTGCTTTTAAGATCTTTTGAACAAACACTGATGATTTACACAAATGGATCAGGATAAATTTCAGGGTAAACACCACAAAAAAAAAAAAAAAGGATTATGTTTGCTTCTGCTTTGGCGTGAGCATGAAGAACATCACCTGGTTTTGTGGCTAGAAAAGACAAACTCGGGGCTCCGAAGTGATCCTGAAAGTGTTGGACTAATACAACACTTCAGCACTTTAAGTAGAAATACAAAATTAGAAACAAAGGAACACTACATGCAGCATCTCCATACAAACCTCAAGGATGTAAAGATCAAGGTTTATGATTGTTACACTGGTAACACACCCATACATTTTATAAACATTTTAAAGATTCATAAAAACACTCAAGTATTTTCAAGGTCAGGTTGTAGGGAAGGGCTTTACCTTTCACTCAGGGAATGGTTGGGGAGATTCAGAGGACTTCTGCAGTCTGACACAGCCCAGGTGGATTGAACTGAGGCAACGCCCTTCACAGGGCTTTTGGTCTGGACTTCATGTCTGGACTGTGTCTCTGGGGATGACTGGACCTTGACAGAGCCAGATCTCACCTGGAAGAGGTCACAAGGCAACAGGGTTTAAAGAAGTGGCTTTTGGGGGGGGATATAATACAATACTACAATGTATTTGTCACAGAAGGAAAAAAACTACACAACATTTAAACATGTACCTCCATGTTTCTAATGTGCTGTCACATCAAAACAGTAGCTCCTGTATTTGCTAATTTGAAATGTTAAGACTTACTCTGGCTGTTCTTGGTCGGTAACTCCCCAGGAGGGAAGAATCTACAATGACAAAGACAAGGTAGAGCTTTATACAAATGACAAAAGTCACAGTAGTTTCTGAACTGACCGCACTGCCTCATTTGAAATATAATGCCCCTACAGAGACAAAACTGTAGACAGGGTGATGTACAAATATTTGTATACATATAGTAGCTTTAAATTGTCTTACTACAAAAACTGCTACAGGTGCATCAGAACAAGGATGTTTGATCTGACATACAATACTTAGATGTCCTCACACTGACTGAGCCAAACCTGAAAACCATTCAAAGGCTTTATTATATAATGTTACCACGAGGACATAAAATCATACGACATTAGACCTACAACAACCTGTCAGGCTTGTGTGCCAACAATTCCAAAGTTCAGTTTTTCTCCATACAGTCCTGTGTAAAAGTTATTTTTGCAGCTAACGTAGCATGGCACTGAGGGCACGTATTAGCCTTTGCATGTGAGTGATGAGGCCTACAGCACCTGTGTGAACTGCTGAGAAGCTGACAGAGCGTCGATGTATGCTACCATGCTGGGGAGAGGTGGAAGGAGTTCCCATTCCAGAGACACTACTGCAGCGAGAGACCTTGAATAAGGAACGACAGAAAAATTATTTGCTGGTGAGCAGTATAATTAACTTAACACAGCTATAGTGGCAATTATTTTATATAAACACTGCACAGAGAGGCTGTATGGGACTTAAACCCTCTTTGTCACTTGAAAGATATGAAAAATGAAATCACACTGTCTGCTACACCACATAGATGAAAACATACATTTCAGTTTATGCAAGGAAATGCAGACAAAAAAAAAACCTCAAATCATTTCATCAACCACAAAAGGCGTAAAGAAAAAACTGCTACCTTTTTTTTTAAATAACCACCCACAGAACACCAAACACCAAGGTTTGGGTTATCTATAGGAATGTGCTTCCCTCTACACACAAGCCATGTGTACCAGCAATGCATTCACATGGTGCTAGGCTACTTCATTAGGTTTCTCTTTAATTGCTGCTTGACTCTCAATTACCAGGGTTAATTGTCAAAAGAAGATCCCCCCAGGAAATCCAGAGTATGCCTGTTGTATTCTAGTATGTTCTATTCATGTGTGTGACAAAAACAAACAGCCCAGTTCCTAATTATTTCTTTTTATAACAGCGTGCCAGTAGGTTTTGATATTCATACCTCAGGATTAGATCTGATGTAAATGAAGAAGCAGGAGTACAGTGGGGAGCAGAGGGAGGGAGTGACTGAGGACTAGATGCTGTGTCGTTCTCATCCATGGACTGTACAGTGTATTATTCCCCAAGGCTGCGTGATCAGAAATCTCTCCTTTCATATGCAAATCCCTCAGAGCAGTGATGGTCATAATTAAAGTGTTAATAAATATTGTAACTGCATGCCAGCCTAAATACAACACGTGCTATTAAAAGACACTCACGCCCCTCTGTGAGAATAATAGGCCATACACGCAGAGTGAAACATTGTCATGATGTCAAAATCCATTAACGGCTGAGGTAAAAAGATTACCACCACTCTCCTTATCCTTTCCGCTTAATCTCCCCACTAGTAGTTAAAATTTGGGAAGCTCCCACTGAGGTATAAATACATCAGGTCAGAATCCCATTAATATTATAACCCCTGTTGACCACACACATGTATTGTTTGCATTAGACAAACCATCCATCCATTATCAGTACTGCTTATTCTGAAAAGGGTCATGGGGGGCAAGAGCCAACCCCAGGTGACACTGAACGAGAGGCAGGGTACACCCTTGACAGGTTGCCAGTCTATCACAGGGCTGACAGAGACAGACAGCCACTCATTCCTACGGGCAATTTAGAGTCACCAATCAACCTAAGCTGCATGTCTTTGGACTGTGGTAAGAAGCTGGAGTACCCACAGAGAACCCACACAGGCACAGGGAGAACATGCAAACTCCAAGTTCTGAAACATGGAACCTTCTTGCTGTGAGGCATCAGCGCTAACCACTGCTCCACCATGCCGCCCCTGCTTTAGATAATTGATAATACCATAGTTTTTGTCAGTTGTCTTCAGTATGGGGGAATATATCTGATATTACTAACCAAAAAGGGTGGCTGGCTCTCTGTCTCCTTCCTGAAGTAGTGAGGGCCCAGCTGGAGGTGGCTGAGCCTCTGCCTGGCATCTTCTGAAAGCTGGCACATCTTACGGTGTGTGTAAGGAGACAGGGCTCGTGTCCTTGAGGAAACTGTGGGCTGCTGGTAGCCACAGTCTGCAGAAACTCTGGGAGAAGTGTGTTTTCTTTCCTTGTTTATCTGAGGACTGCGGGTGGATGAGGAAGGAGAGTGTCTGGATGATGCCGGCGATGAAGAGTTTGTAAACACACTCTCAACATTTAACTTTTCCTTCCCACGTTTCAAAGAGACACCGTTTCCCTCAGACTTTATGGCTGAACTGAGTCTGGATGAAGTTAAAGATGGCCTCGCTGGAATAAGACAGCAGCTCTAGGTGCACAAGGACAGAATACGAGAAAAAAACAGAAAAACACTGATGACATGCCGAGCTACTCTCCATTTTAAGGTGACACATAATATTTGACCCAGCAGATTTCTCCATAGACCACAATAATGTTCTTATACAGAAGCACAAAAGCGTCAGCCATTTTAGCCATTAAGTCAGCTGCTCACACTCTCTACATGGACTTGCTCTCCCTGGACAAAACCATTAGCTAAATCATTCAGCTAAAGTGTTACAACAACAGCTCTCACAGTCGGCACTGCCATGGAGACAACCTCTGCAGAATTACTTCAATAACTCTAATGGCCACTAACATCATTCTCCGATGCAATATCCTACTTCCTGCGGGTAATGCCAACCGGGGATAAATAAGTTAAGATAAAATGTTAATTGCATTTGATGGCCATCTCCAGCCTAATATGATAAAGAGGCATTACCTGGCTGTAAAACAATGATAATCTAAATGCTAATTAGGGAAATCACCAAACATTAAAACTATTTTTAAGAAAAACTAAATGTGAATAAATCCTCACAGTTGAGACTGTGCTGATTTAATGGAATTAAGACAAGTATGTCCACACATCCTCCATCACCTCAGACTTCTCTCAGCTCCCCATCACCTTCTTCGCTGATGGAAGAACTCTGAGATTCAGTCACTTTTCCTGACTGGTGAAGGCTTGTCTGGTGTGATTAGCTGCTGTTTCAACTCTTGGTATTGTGTGATAAAGATACTGTTCAACAAAGCCTTGGTCATGCAGAAAAAATTAAAATAACATGGGAAATAAAAATTAGCTATTTCAATAAGAACAATGATCACTGTTGAAAACTGGATGATCATCACTATAGTTTCACAGGATTTTTTTGGAAGTTGTTCTTCAAAAATCTATTAAAACGGAATAACATCTGACAGCTGGGCGAGCAGTGAGTCAGGGTGTTTGTTACCTATGCTGGGAACCCATTACAAGAGAAAAATGGAAAAATTCTACTGTGTGTGTTCTGATCTAGACATCCCTCCAAGGGGTCAGGAGAACAATATGACAATCCCCTTACCAATCTGTGACACCCCTTTTAAACAAATAGCTTAGCTTAGGTTACTACACCAGAGGGCTTTATCACAAAACCAAGACAGCAGATTAAGCTGGAATTTCCCAGTTATTCTGTCTGAATTTAGCTGGGAGTCGGTTTCATCACAGCAGTAGCTCATAGGTTGCCATGGAGATGTATTCCTTGCAGCTAGCCAGGATTAATCATGCTAGGCTAACATATAACCTATACTGTATATGGGTCACTCTACAAAAATGGCAAAGGTGCTGTCCCTTACTTCTGGAGACACTTTAAAATTTACAAAGACACAGTGGAAGAGACTTAGCTGATCCGGAGTCTGGACAGCCAACATAAAATAACTGACCGTCAACTACCAGCTAAGTCATAAATGTGAAAGAAGCCTTACTATCAGCTTCACAAATCTGCCTCCCTGTAATTACATTCACAAGGACAGTATTGATACCCTTGAAAACTGCCCGTATGGACAGATAGATGCAGTCACCATGGCAACAATAGGAGGTGGGTATGGGTATGTAACAGACCAATCTAATGGCGAGCAATAGCACTCATTAGAGTCCTCTGTCGTAGCTGTGGTGAACACTTACACAGAGATGTTCAGTGTGTAGCTGTGATCAAACTCCAGACATTTTAAACTGTCAGGGAGGATGATAAACACACTGTTTACTTCACTTATGGGTGACACTTTGGATTTTAACTTCTGAAAAGCTATGAACACACAACAAAAATTATTTATAAAAGTCAGGCCTATTCAAATGCACAACAAATATAACTCTGAAAAACCACGAGTAAAACAATGACAAAAGCACAGCAAATATGAAAAACTGGACATATGGTGTGTGGTTAGGCACAGACCTAGGAGGTGTAACAAAAAAAAAAGCACACACTTACAGGCGATGCAGGCCAGCGGTCCCTCCCATGACTCTCTTCAATGACTGACGTTGTGGCAAACTCCACTTTGGGTGAGATTCCCTGGTGGGAGAGGAACAAACACAACACCTTCAACAGGTAGATAAAAACAAAAGGACAGACAACAGTGCTGCTTGAAGACCAATTTACAACCACATAGCTTCAATCGACGTCTGGCTCGAGAAATAACAATTACGAAGAAGAGAAAGGCTCCAGTGATGTTTAAATAATATGGCATTTAGAGAGACATTTAAATTGCTATGTAGGCTTCAAACGCAAACACGTAGTAGCAACAGTGAAGGGACCAGTGTTTAAACACATTCACATATGCCAGTTTGTGCCTCTGAAGATGAAGGAAGCAACCTGCAGCCACTGAAAGATGAAGGAATGAAAGAGGTAGAGAAAGAAAGTGAGGATATAAGAAGAGGTGGAAAACAAAAAGGATGAGGAGTGAGTTTAGCTTTTCTGTCTGTAGAGATGGATGAGAGCTGCATAGAGGAAATTATCTTTTCCCAAGTAAATATATCACTTTGTCTAAAACATGAAAGTGTTACCTGTCATGTGCACAGACATAAAAGCCACTGAGATTAACAGGCAACAACCTTCTCCAGCCTATTAATGACACACGGTGGATCACACGGTGAGCACAATGTGGGAAAGCTGTGGCATGTGAATTATTTTGAAATGCATCAGTTCATTTACAAATAGAAGAATGTTGCAGCAGAATTTAGCTTTTGGTTAATTAAGCCAGTTTCCCTTTGGACGATTCTGAATATGGCTGTAAATCACAAGCTTCATCACAATACGTTCTTACAGTATATCAATTCTCTTAGGCAGCAATCTGATATTGGTCAGTGCCGTGATGCTATTTCAGTTCGATTTGATTCAAGGGCCTGCGATCAATATGAAATGATATTATGTGTGTATTTCACACAACTATTATTTTATTAAGTGGCAAATGCAATGCAGTACTTCATTTTTCATGTCTTGATTCTCATGGGCAGAGCTGACTGGGCCGTGGTGCCACCCCTGCCAGAGTCAAAATGCGATGCTTGTCAGTATTAATGAATGAAAAACAAAAAAAAAACAATGATAAATTGCCTTAGAAACAACTAACATTTTTCTGGTGCTTTATAAATGGTATTGGTCAAATTAGTTTTATTTTATATCATGCATGCAGTGTGATATTTGTATCCATTTCTCCCACTGTGTTTTTGTGGAGTATTAACTGCCTCAGTTGTTTCTGGTGGAGAGCTTGATTTATCCATGAATTTATTTTTCCTGCTACAGCTCAAGGCAAATTCACATAGAAAGTGTTCTTAGATGTGTTTTTGACATCCATTATTTGCCAGTCTCATGCAACAGATAGAACTCCAAACTATCACTGTATCAATCCACACTGACTCTAAAACATGAGACATGTTGAACTCTATTTTCCACCCACCCTCCTGAAGCATCATCTCAACAGACAGTTAATTGAATCAAACAAATCTCCTGTTATTTGTGTGTTGTAAACTTTTAACTAGTATCTGATGATTGATCAGGCTCCTGGTGTCACACTAAGCTTTTGGGTTTTACTTTCCCCGCCCTCTGCAACAAGAGGAGGAAATAAACAAATCATACATAAAACATAGCTGATTTCTTCCTGATGACTCTACATGAAAACAAATTTTGTCCAGTACATTTCTGTTAGTCAGCGTAGTGAAGACTGTTTTCAGGCTGCTGTACTTGGGGTCAGAGTTGGTGCAGACTGAACGGATTATCTGCTTCAATAGCACTCAGTGTCTTGCTTCTTATATAAATTCACAGTCAGAGTTCTAGGCTGATGCATCATCTGATGCATGTTGTCCAGTTTTTCCCAACACGCTTCAGCGGAAATGTGTATGGATATGACTGGCTGAGTGTCAAAATAAAGGTGTCTAACATGTTTATGCTTTACATATGACATCAGGTCACGAGCTATTTGATCAATGCTCCAATCCAGATCGATGAATTATCACACTCTTACTGTGAAAATTACTTGTTATTGGCACAGGTGTTGAAAGGAGGATTATAAAAGAAATAAAAAGTAGAGATAGCCTACAGGAAATGAGGAGGACCTCTTCATTAGTATTTCTCTCTCTACAGCTCCTCCTCTGGAGCTCAAGTTTGGACCAGGGTACAGGAAATCTCTGCTGGTTTCCTCCACTGTGGCTAGAACCTCACCCTCTAAAAACCACATACAAACAGTAAACAAGAACACAATCACAAACCAAGTTAGAGAACCTGCTTTTGCACTGTAATGACTAGATACAGTAGGGACTTAACCTGCCCATATGGCATCATCAGAAAGCATACTGTACCTGGAGGCACCAACTGAATCAGCTCAAAAGATGCTGTGTCAGCTAAAAGAAATAAAGGCACAAACAGACTGTGAGTTAATGATCAGTATCACAGCCAATAGCCTATAAGCTTGCATAGCAGCGGATTCAGGCCTAAGAGATGAGAGCAATTCCCAGATGGTCATTTACCTTCGAGGAGGTCAGCTACATCAGCAGGGTCAACAACGCCGGGGAACATCTGACAAAAAAGGCAAAGTAGAGGCAAATCAATTCTTATAACAAGATGAGATGGGCAGCCCAGTATCTAACTCTGTTGTTCCCCCCAGGGAAAAGGCTTCTTTTATCAGGAGTTAGGGCAGTAAGGTTCAAATTGAAGGGCTGCTGATCTGAATCCTTGGCCTAATGCAAAAAACTGCTCAGTGGTTCAAACTGCGTCTTACTACAAAAAATAAAGGACTTGTGAAGGAAAACTGTAAGTGAAAGCATGTGCAACTAAGCAAGAACAAAAAACAAACATGCACCGATCAGCCATAACATTATGACCACCTGTTTCCAACACACAAACATCACGAACTGAATGTTCACTTGTTGCCTAATATACCCCCCACACTGACAAGTGCCACTGTAATGAAATAATCAGTGTTACTCAGTGGTCATAATGTTATGGCTGATCAGTGTATGTATAAAGCTTCAAAAGAAAAATGGATGGAGACACTAGCATGGAATTTTTGGAATCTTTTGATTAATGCTACAATTTTACTTTCTGATTAATGTTAGTTTTCGATTGTTACTATCCCAGGAATAAAACTCTTTTGTTACATGAAGATAAAGTATTTTTTGACAGTGTAAATAATATGCCACGAGTCCTGCAGCTATGCCTCTTTCCAAATGTGAACAAAATAGCCAAATACAGGTGGTAATCCCAGCCGAGGAGACGAGCCTTATTTCTGTAATAAACTGTTAGTATTCTCACCCTGACAAAGACCATTGTGTGATGGAAGCGCAAAGGAAAGACAGGGGGCAAACAGGGCGTCTTCCTGTGCTGGCCCATGATACACACACTGAGGTAGATGTCATTCTTTTTAGACAGAAGTACTCCTGGACACGTGACCTGCACACAAACAGTGTAACTGTTAGATATGACAAGCAGCTTGTTGTTTTACCCTGTGCCCTTGATTGCTGCTATTTATGACAAAACTGATTTCATACCAATGTGCACAAGTTTAGAGAAGAGTTTAGACGATCTTAAAAATTACAGTACAGCCTGTATAATAAAGGAAGATGTGGATAACAAAGACCATTGTTTAAAAAGACCACAGAACTACTTTTAAATGCAAATTGAAAATAAAATTAAGACAAAGACATCTGAGACAATGTTTATACAATACCATATGGTAAAGGCACCTCTAATTATATACAGTGAGACAGAAAAAAGAAACTGCCTACAGAAAATACCACAGTTGTGATGGGCCATGTATCTTTATATATGTATGGCGTATGTATGTGTTGTCCTCATAGGTTTAAATGTAATTAACTGATTTAATTAGTTTAATCTGACACACTGTACCAGGGAAACGTATTTTCATGGAGCCCTGACCAAGTTTATTTTATGGTACGTTCTGGCGAACCGAGTAATCTAATTTGTTAATTAGCTACTATGTAAACATTTAGCGGGATAACTTAACCTGCGGTGAGTTACAGCCGTTGGTTAGTCGAGTTAAGGGCGGCTAAGGAAAGGTTTGTAAAGGGAAGAGGATGTAACCCTGTTGGCTAGCTTGACTAAGATACGTTTGTTTATGTGTTTTGTATCAAAGCATGAAGACACACTTACTGCCTTAATGTCCAAGTACACGGTACATTTCAGAGACTTCTTGTGCATGTTACCGGAGGAAAACTTGCTCTTTTTCAAGGCCATTCACGGAACTTTCAAACATCGTTGTCATAGCTTCCAAACAGCAGCAGCTACAGGGCGGTGGTAGAGTCATGTGACGGAGAGGTAGCCAATCAGAAGCTGTCTGCGCGCGCGCACGCACACACACACACACACACGCACAAGTGTTTGAGCCCACAATCACTGTCTCATTAAGCTCCAATCACCAACCTTCAATGTGTAATTTGATTTAATCCCGGATTTGTATTAAAGTGCTGGGAAAGCTGTAGTTAACTGACAATGTAGTGCATGTTCGGTCAACACTGCAAACGTACATGGCCATAAATAGACTTCTATCTATCTATCTATCTATCTATCTATCTATCTATCTATCTATCTATCTATCTATCTATCTATCTATTTATTTATCTATACATATATAAGCCTGTCAAGATGTTCTTCTCTGTGGTTTTGTGGTTCTTTTCCGTATTCTAGTGCCTCTTTATGGCAATTGTTGCATCTTTTTCCTATTGCCCGGTAGCTTTGTTGTCATTTTGTGTCCATGCTGATTCTGCATCTATTGTTTTGCATCTCTTTGTTGCCATTTTGTTTCTCTATAGGCCTGTGGAAATTTAGCATCCCTTTACGGTAGATTTGCATATCTTTGTAGTGGTTTTCTGTCTTTAAAAACGGAGCCCTCTAACTTTCAAAATAAGAAAAAAGAACCAGTCACTCCATAGAGAAGCCCCTGCCCTGGAGCCCGACAAGCCATGGGGCTTGGTAGGCACATTTGATAACCCATATGTATGTTAAACACAATCATTAACATTCTCAGTATTGCTATAAAAGTGCAACACATAAAACAATATGTTTAATGTTTAATGACTTATTATAATACCAGTAGAGATAATAACACCATCCAGTGAAGTCATAAAATAAGTCAGTAACAGCAGGGAAGCATGCATTTATTTACATCTGTGTAAACAGAAAAGGAGCTGCTGAATGAAGGTCTCAAATGGAATATAAATGGATAACCACTCTGTGTCCCCATGGTATTCCATATTCCACATTTTATAGTCACTAAATAACCCAGGAGGACACTTGTTCTGATTTTTATCCTGCAACCACCAGTCACCTCACTGTTGCAAATCTGTGAAAATAAGTCTTTAGAGCCAGGCAAATGTGAAGCTTCTAAAGGCAATGAAGTGTGAAGGATCCTCCTGCCATGGTGCTCTGCATTTTATACATGCTCAGCCTGTGTCCGTCTGTTTGTCTAGTGCCTGACACCCTGGCTCTTCTCTCTCTCTCTGTTCGCTCTGTCTCTGCCAGCATCATTGCCCTTTTCATCGCTTGTCTGGGACATCACCTCAGAGCTGGAGACAAAAACATATTAGCATGAATCACTGAGACGGCAGCCTAAAATTCAGGAAACAGCAAAACAAAAAATATTCTCAATAATATGCAAATGAAAAAATGATATCTGGGTAATTGATTTCCTAGTAGTATTTCTGCATGATGCAATAAAACTTTGCCTTTGAATATGAGTTGGTTTGCTGTCCTTGGTAAGATTGTTGAGTTTGTAGTAATCCAGGAAGGTTCGAGCCACATTCCTGCCCAGTTTCGTGTCTGAGGATAAGGAGTTAAAGCTGACTGTCTTTGAATGAGCTACAGGTAATATTACACAAAGCATTTCATACTTCAGTGGTATCCAAACTGGGTGGTGGACCACTTGAAGAGGTGCTGCACCACTGCACAGTATAGAATCAACCTTTTATACAAACAGTGGGTGAGATTTGGGTGATGGCGTGGTGATGAACCCATGGGGAATAATCACCCATCTCTACAGTTCTCTTCAGCTGTACTAAGCATTTTAGCATCTTTCAGGTCATTGATTTGCTTTTATGACTGCAACCTTACTGTTTGGTTTACTCTCACTGCTCTTAGCAGGAAGCAGTTTTTAGTTTAAAGACAGACAATGTCAATGCCCAGCTGGTGAACATAATGGAGCATTTGGCAGCCGAAGAGACCAAAAACAGATGGAGAGTGAATATTAGACTTTTATTAATCATGGCCAAAAACATGACTACAAATAAAAGCTACAGTATATTACTTTTTTTCAGATATTTTTATTGGTGTGTTTTAAAGCTTGCCTTCATTATTTCTGCTTGATAGGTATATTTTGTTACATTCTCATTTGCTGTAAATTCATAATGACAAATATCCAGAGAGCTGGGCAGAGCGTGGCGGAGCATCGCAGATTGTAGTACAGCATAGTGGAGCAGAGAAAGAAAGTGTTTGCTAACCCGAATCAACTTTACAATGTAATACGTGACTGTTTACAGCTTAGGTAAAAGTAATCCTTTTTACAACAGACATTTGGTGTCACACAGATGGAACTAATGACATTATTAATTGATATTTTAGCTGGAGGTGAACCCATTCTTACTGTTCTTGTGCCTTTACTGCTCTGACAAATCAAAATGACCACTGCAAAAAAAGGATTCATTTGGGTAAGATAAAAGAAAATACAAGTGTGCTCTGATATACATTTTTTTCATCCATGATAGATAAGGTTAAGGGCCCACAGTCCTAGATATAGCTACAAATTCTGCAAAGTGTCTAACCAACGAGAAGAAGGTGAAAATTTTATAAAGATTTAAGACATAAGAGATTTTTTTTTGTCTATGATGCATGACACATCCAAACCACTAAATATCCGCTTGGTCACACACTGCATAACATAAAGTCATTTAAATAAACGCTTGGAATGTCCCCTCTATCATTACAATGGACATGGTGAGCTACTGTAAATAAATAGGGACTGTAGCGCCTGGAGAAATGAGCTGTGTAAATCTTCAAGGTACAACACACTGCGTTCTGAAGTGAGGGAGACTAAATCACCTGCATTTTACTCACGTCAGCCAAATCTATGATGGTGGTATGAATCACACAAAAGTAATTACTTATACACTGAGGCCTTATTTAAATTCAGAGGTGAGCACACATATCATCCCCCTGCCCAATTGTCCCTCACTGCATTAGGGACATATCAATACCTTCACTGTTTTTATAAAACCCCTGAGCGTATATGAGTGCTGTTGCTAAGTCTGTGATCATTAGACCAGCAGGGCTAGTAATGATGACAGTCAAGTTCAGATAATGAAGAAGTAGGGAAGCAGGATGCTGACAATGCTCCCAATAACTAAGAGTGAGGATACATGATAGTAAATACAATGTCACCAACAGAGGCAAATTTCATCTAGTCCAGGAGGCAAGTGGACTGAAAAACACCATCAGTATCAGTTACCAATCTATTTATCCTCCATTTTAGACATTCTGTTTCTTCAGACAGTATTCAGACTTTTTGCATGCTTTTTAGTTTACTGTTCATTTTAAACTAATAAAAGTGCAATTTTTGTCCATTGATCTACACTCAATAACCCAAAATATACACCACAAAGTGTGAAAAAAGTGAAGGGATCTGAATACTTTCTGAAAGGAAAGTGTGTCTGTTGCTATTCCATCATTCTCCCTCTATACTGAATACTCGTGCATACTGCTCACAGAGATTCAAAACAAACAAAAAACTTGAGGCATTGATTTTTCATTATCGCCATTCTTCACCAGACTGGAGCATGATGGGGCAACACAGAGACACTGTCCCCTTGTCATTACCTGGTTGATACTCAGATAACGCCTGGACTGTCTGTTACAACCATGTGATTGAAACAACTGGCATTTAAAAAGAGATGGAGATTCAGTGATTTTCATTCTCCAATTTCTTTTAATGATTGGAACATGACCTGCCCTACATAAATCCTGGCTGCTATAAAGGTGAAAAATGAGGGTCCAAAGCTGTTGGTTTGAATAGGTGGTTAGGGCATACACTTCAGGCTTTGTTTGTGATACCTCAAATAACACACATATAGTCAAAGGGTACCTGGTAAGTTAGGCTGGTGAATACACAAGCAAACCTCCCTGTAGTGAGTCTGTCACGTTGGCCTTTGAGAATATGCTCAAGAAGCTGCACAGGACTCCATTCTTCACCTGCCAAGATGATGGCAACACTCTCCACATGACTGCAGAGTCTGTTTTAATACTCCATCTGGCTATTTGTCTGTGAGTCTGCATCAGGCCAGCCTTGCTGTGTGACACCGGATGTGTGAGTCATAAAGTAAAGTTGTAGCATTCTGATTCTTAATGCAAATTTTAATGCATAGTTATTCTAGACAAGTAGTGATAGTAGTTATTTGTTAAAAGCTGATACACTGATTTACACTCAAAAACTGTAAATGTACATGTAAGCACATACACGCACACACACACACACACACACAATACATATACCTGTATACTGTAAATACAAACATACACCCTCCTTGCGTCCTTGACATCTTCATTCTGACCTCAGGAATGTTTTTGGTGTTTTCCTCTGTTCTCTTTCATCAGTAGAGCCCAGTGCCAGTCCTGAGCTCTTTGGCCAGGCGGTGACAAAAATATCTCTCAGACCCCACAGTTAGCAGATGGCCTCTCAGCTTGGTTTGTCACGACTCTCTATCTATTACAGGAGGTTTTGTGATGGACGGTCAGTTTCTGAACGAGAACTTCATCCATGGGGCGAATGTTCAGAGATACAGAGGATGCCCTGACTTCTGTCTAGCCTGTTGCCGAGGGAAACCGTAGGGTCCGGAACAGGGCTGCTGCTGCTGCAGCAGGAAGTGGTGTGTGTGTGAGCCAGGAAACAGTCGACGGGCTGTAGCTTGGATTACAGAGGTGGGTGGTAGTGGAAATACTCAGAAAACATCAGATGGCAGCCTCGTGTGAATTAACACATGGAGTAATACTGATGACACTGTTAGCAGTGTATCATCAACTTCATTGGATTATCATTACTATTATTGCTGCATAATCATTACCCAGATTTGGGTAGGTCATAGAGGTGTGTGTATGCAGCCTGTCAACATCTTGCCTGCCTGTCACTAAGGTGGGTGAGGTGCACTCTTTAACATCTCCATAGATATAACGGTCTTGTCTAATCAATAGAAGGTTATTGTAATGGCTAAGGGACATGCCAACTTAGGAGCTGATGAGATACAGGACCCCTAAGACAAAGGGGACGAGGACATCATGACTTGTTTACCGCAGCTGTTTACTGCCAGCACGGCATTTAGCAGCTTTCAACATCATCTCCCTTGTGCCAGGTCCTGGCAGACAGACAGACAAGGTGATGATCAGACAACAACGCCCCGAGTGGTAAAATGGACAAGACACAAAAGAATGCTGTCGAGTCTGGACAGGCGTTAACAAGGAGACAAGCAAAGGGACATTCAAGCCATCAATATGGGCCACTGACAGATCCTGTCACTGCACTGACACATAGAGAACTAATTATCAATGCTAATTAAGAAACTAGTCAACAACAGCAATACAAAAAGGGACATTTCTGTCCCCAGTAGTGATTCAACAGACTGAAAGACCTCACGTCTTGTTGCCCAAAGGGACGAACAGAGGCTGATTTAAATCCTTGACAGGAGGAAGTGTCAAGCTCTGAAACTTGAGCAGTAAAATGAAAGTATAAGAAAGGCTGTTTTGTACACTAACATGAATACAAGACTCTTCTGATCTATGTGAAAACAGAGTATGGGTACTATTTTTATATTCCAGTTATTATATTTCTTTACAAGAGTTTTGCTCTTTTGTTGTTTGGGAAAGATTTGGCTTTGTGTATAAAAGTTTAAGAAAGGAAAGCACTGTTAAACAAATGGTACATGCACACATACGCCATGTTTCCATTACTGCAGGGGACATTACACTGACTTACTGTAAATTCATTTCCAGGAGAGACTTACACTATCCTTAACCATAACCACTATTTATCTAAACCTAACCTCATCCTAACCTTAAACCAAGTTATCACTCCAGAATGTAATGATTGACGATTTGGGGACTTGATGCCCCCCCCCGACACACACACACCTCATGGTTATGGCTTTAAACCTCTCTTTATGTTTTTTTTTATTGCTTTCTCTGTTGTTACATTCAGATGACAACAGAGATAATAAATAATATAGTGAAAACAATAATATATTTCACATGTGATATGTACATATATTAATAATTATTTGCGTCACTGCTTTTTATCTGCAATTTGCATTGGATTCTAAAGGTTTAATTTAATTTCAAAACACTTCAACATCTTTCAACTTTTACCCTTCGACAATTCAACCACTTTCATATCTGACTGTATAACTGAAGAGCTAATTTACCCACATTTCAACAGACAGTTCCAGCTCAGCCGCACTTTGATTATCTAAATCCCTCTCAGTGCTTGAACCTAAACTGCCACTTCAACTTCTTTCAGTATTTTAACTATTTCAGATGCTTGAACTGCAATTTTTTTATATAAGTGAACTTAGATGGTCTTCAGAAAATGTTGCCTTTTCTACTACAAATGGTATTTGAAACTTTCTCAGACTTTTTCAGCTGTAGCATACACAAAAACTACCACAACACAACTGAATATGTCTGATTGTGCTTCTTTGTGAGCACTCATGTGAGGACACCTGAGCATAGCGACAATATTTATGCAATCCGTGTGTGTATAAATGTGTGTCTATGTGTCTCCTTGTGCGAACTTACTTGCATGTGTGAACACCTATCCATTTGTGTATGTCTGTGTGATATGATGTGTATGATGTGTGGTAGTGAAGCATATTTGCCTCCAAGCTATATTATTTGCATACTTGTCACAGCCTGTCCACTGGGTGTCAGGTTCACTGATGCATACTGTGCTCCACTCGCAGCTCTGGTAGTCATGGGCTCCCACTGTTGGTGGGGTGCATGCCTGGGTATTGCTGCTTTTGGCAGACAGACATTGCACACTCATGAAAAGAATCAGGGGTGTGTGTGTAAGACCAGTGAAAGCTAGTTGCTCTGGCTGTCTATCCATACTGTCTTGTTGCATCTTGTAGTTAGCCAAAATCACAAAAGCATGCTGAAGAACCCAACATCGACACACTTTACAATAGATGTGGGTTATTTGAATGAACATCTGACTGAGAAGACCACCATTTCAGAAGCCTCTGTGTGTCTTCCATTAGTGAAGGAAAACAGAAAATTGTCTGTCTGGCAGAAATGTGAAAATCTTAAAAATCTGCACATCTGTACCATAACAGGGAAAAGCAACTGCTCGGCTCAGTGCAGGAAAAATGAGCAAAATCTTTCAGGGAAGCATTACAGACTGAAATGCTTTAAAAGTTTTTCAATAATCCTTCAAAGTCACAGAGGGTACAGTCTCTTCACAACACCAAAATCACACACACAAACACATATTGGTAAATAGGCCCCCAAGCTAACATAAATACACATACTGAACACACAGACACACAACAAGGTCCCAGATTCTCTCGACCTTGATCCATCCCACTTTCCAGTGAAAACTTCACTATAAAAACTTGGAGAAAAGTCACAGACCAAAATGTTTGATTACAGTTATGAGCGGTGGAATGTCACTGAGACTGGAATTTACCTTGCTGAAACAAATTTAAAGTAAGTACACACAAAAAGAGATATAGATGGAGGGGGTACATGCACACATGGAAATACACACACACATACAGAGTTGTTAAATAATTAGAGGACAAAGAAAAGATACACACACGCTACAGTTTGTTCCTGCTGTTTCAGAGACGAGCATTCTCAGCTTGACTAGATGATATAATGAGATGTTATGTTCTGGGTGATGAGAGAGAAAAGGACAGAAGAGAGGACAGGGGAGGACATGAGAAGAAAAGGAGACGACAGATCAGAAAACAAAGACAAACACATGCACACACACACGCTGAGCACTTTCATACTGTGAACAAAGTCTTGGCTGTGAGAAAGGTTAAGATTTCAATTTTGTTGGCTACAAGTCACAGCAGTGGAGAAGGACAGTCAGGACAGATGAAAGGGTAAGGACAGCATGTTTGGGAGATGCAGGATTTCGGAGCGCAGGTTATTATTTATTTGTCATGCATTAGTTTAGAGGACTGTGCATGCATGTTCGTGTGTGTGTGTGTGTGTGTGTGTGTGTGTGTCAGGTGAGAAAGGTGGAAGGAGGGGGCACTGAGATGCTAAAGGTCTCTGTTGATGATTTGTACGCTCCATCGAGCTGACTGCTGGGGCGTAAAAAGCGACATGGTTGGTTCCTTCAACCTGCCTGACCCCAATCTCCACTCTACACCGGGTCCCTGTGCTGCCTACCCACCCTGTGGAGCCCCTCCACCTTGTACCCCTCCCCTTCTCACAAAGAAACACACACACACACACACACACACACACACACACACACACATACACACACACACACTACTGAAAAACAAAAAAGATCAAGCAATCCCTCCCACCAGAGCTGAGTTCTCTCCCAGTTTGACCTTCAGAAGAAATGCCCCCTCTCCACACACTGGGAGCCAAAAACCTGACTCCTCATTTTTTATCTCACTCCAAACTCAGTTCCACCAACTCAAATAAAAGTGTAGAGTGGAATTTGTTATGTGCTCTTTGTTTAGCATATACTCCTGTCTTCTTAGTGTGAAGCTGAGGTGTGGCTGTGGTGGAGCCCCATGTGTATGCACATGCCTGGATTTCCAATTGGGCATCACTGCTGTAATGCAAAAACCTGAGCGGTTTTTATGAGAAGCATTAACGTAATGAGAGGGTCGAGGGGACGCACATACACACCACATTATAACGTGCATAAAATAGACCCTATAGTTTATTCAGCTGCTTAAAGAAGTTCCCATTTTTCACATATTAGCCTGTCACTAAATCACTTTTTAAAAAACATTACCACAGAAACTTCCTGTGATCTCTATGTAGAATCAATATTGTTATAACTAACTTTTTATGTATTAGTGAATCGTGAACTGCCTCTTGTTTGGCTGTGCCAGATCTTGGCACTAGAGGGCACTAGGGCTGCGTCTATGTCCACCACCCCTTCCATCTGCAGAGCATGTGTAGGGGAGCACATACCTTTCATATGTAGGGTCCTTATCACTCTCTAAATCTCTCTTTCTCCCTCTTCTCATTCTCTTTATTGGTGAGATCAGATCACCACTGGCCAGCTCTCAGGAGCTCTTCAGCCTTGAGGAGGTCAGATGAAGGAAAACTTTCTCCCATCTGGCTCCATTAAGGCACCTGTGACCTTCAGTTCTCGTGATGAATGTACTCGTATGTGTGTGTCGGCATAATTGCAGTCGACAGGAATCCTGCTTGTTCTATTGTTCATCTCAATCAAAGCCTCAGCTGCACACACGCACACACACACACACACACACACACACACACACACACACACAGCACTACATAAGCCAATGCAAGCCCCCTTCTCCTCTCTCCTTTGTAAATGAAATCAATAGACGCAGCTATCGCATCCCTATTCTGTCACTGCACATCTGTCGCAACAAGAGGCAACAAAAGAGCAACAAAAGCGTAACATGCCTTTCTCGTGAGTACACATGACCTGGCACACAAATGCATTTTCGCTCACACATGCACGCACAGTCATTACCAGGAACCCAGATATTAAAAAGAATTACTCCAGTGATTACAAGATCAATTGGCCTGATTTTAGTAGGAGATTGTTACTGTGTGAAAAGTGTTTGTGTGTGAAACAGTGCGAGAGAAGAAATTTAGAGAAACATAAGACACTGCTGGCGTTTACTCTCTGAACCATAACTTTTTTCTTTCTGCACACACACATTCAGTAGATCATACTGTATATGTTGAAGGATACATGTCTCCTCAGTGTAGGGGACAGGCACGGTGCTGCCAGCTGTCATGTAGCTGTAGAAGGACACCTCTAGAGTGTAGCAGTAGGATGTGTCATCAAGGAGACCACCAAGGAAGCGTCTGCCGGTGCCAGCCTTCACCACGTCCCGGTTAAAGGATGTGTTAGACTAAAGGAATACACGAAAACCAACGTACATGAGAGATAACATCAAGGTAGTTTCTCCTTGGTTAGGAGATTTGGGCTTTGTCTTTGTGTCAGCAACCATCCACCCTGCTAGATGTAAGACACTGGGGTCTGGAGAATTTCCCTAAGGAGATCATTAACCCCAACAATGACATATAACCTAAACTACATTTATAGGTCCTGAATATAGAAATTGGTATGAGATTACTTTAATGGCCAATGTTTCCCTGTACAGGTTTTGCTATTTCAAGCCCTTGAAAACCTGAATTACAGATTATTTCTCAAACACAAACACTGACTAGAAGAGAAGAAAAACACACAGTGCTTTTGGTTTTTATGTCCCAGTTTACACGCCACTGTACTTGCAAGTCAGTCTCTTCAAATAAGAGATGGTGAGATGTCACCATTTATATGATACTGTATGTGTAATGTGAGAAGACAAATGTTCAGGTGTCACCAAAGGGCTTAAAGCAGCTATAATGAATTCTTGTGATAACAAAGAAATCAAATGACTATATGTAACATGAAAGGCATCGCTCAGGGTGATGAACCGACAGGGTATTATCACCAAACTGCAGTTTCCCTCGACTGAGTGTTTTGGTATCTTGCAGCTCAGTGTTATGCTTTGGCTCCTCACCGCTCCTGTCAGGGTCTGTTCACCACCAATAACATCCAGACAGAGTTAGACATACAGAGCAACTAGCTGGTGAACATAGTGGAGCATTTTAGCAGCTGCACAGCCAGACAGTTCCCTCAGCAGTTGGTCAGGACCAAAAATTGAGCTAAAAGAGAATTAATATTAGGGTTACAATCCCACAGAAAATTTGGACACACCTCTGCAATGAACTGAATGGAAAAGTGTCTTTAAACTTTTGACTGGTAGTGTAGATTCATCACCTTACAGTAGATGGTTGTGTTCACTGCTTGTCTGGTGACATTGCAGGGACGAGCGTTAGAGTATATTTGCTTGATAAATGGAAAAATCAAGCACAGTCAGCATCAGCTGACATGTCTCGTCAGTGAAAATACATTAACATCTAGCAATTTGTTCCTCAGTAACTTGCAGTGTTAAAGCTCTGGAGAGCCAGAACAAATTATGAAGGGTAGTTTATTTTTAACAGATTCCCTTCATACAATGTCATTACAAAGACGACTCTAAATGGCTATAGCAGAAGAAAAAAGAACCCTCCAATCTATTTTGGGTTTCATCGTGTCAGCTATACTACACAAATATAATGCTGTCTTGGGAGGAGTGTGGAAAAAGTTTCCATTCACTGTCACTCCACTCTGCTGCAGTGAGAGCTGCCTTGCTGAAATGCAGACTTGGCAGCTACCAGTGGGAGTTTGCCATGATTGTGTTGTGCAGCTGCTGCTGCTGCACTGGGCTTTAGGTAGTGCTGAATGGGCAGAGGGACAAAAGCACAGTAAGGGAGATGACCCCTGGGCCAGCTGTCACACAAGCAGCACACAGAGAGAGAAATTCTCCTGAAATAGAGTTTTACTCTTTGGAACCCAAAATACCGTATAGACACTGACAATGAGTGACATTTCCATACATATGTGGATGAACACCTGCCTGTCTTTCTGTACTGTCAATGGGCAATAAAGGTTACTCTTTATGATGTGTGTTAGTGGCTCTGCTATGAAATATCACTGAGAAAATGAAGTTCAGTGGAAATGACACAGGGCTAAGAGGAAATGGTTTGGTGGATAATGTACCTGTATGAAAAGGTAGGTTAGTATATGGATGCTACTTCCCACCTGCCCTTCTGTTAAATGTTTCTCCCCTCCATTAATTTCGAATGCTTTTCACTTCCTTCTTAGTTTTCCACTCCTTCTCGTAGTGTATACAAGTGCTTTCACAGAACACCTGCATTGCTCATATAGAATATCCTGGCCTACTTTTACTGTCCTGTGCTTTGTCATGACCTACATAGCATTTGCTATTTGTGTTCTATACACAGATACAGTATACTGTAGATGCACTTTCACATTAATGGTTACAGTACATGTCTGGAAACGTGTTGCATGCTGTGTGGTAGGTGGTTGGGGGTTTTGGTGGGGGACTACACCAACATCTCCTCTCCTCTGGTTTGTTGTCAAAGTGGAAATCTTTTTGCACCGCTGGAACATGCCTCTGTCTTCTGTGCACCTCATATAATGTGGCAGTCCCCATGTGCCCATTCATGTGAGAATTTCCCCGTGGAGATCATTAGCCCCACTGATGACATACAGTATAACCTTAACTGCCTCTATAGAGTAGTTGAATACTTTCACAGAAATTGTTATGAGTTTCAAAATGTGACAGTAGTTGCCCAGTGTTTCCCTTCTCAGTCTTTGTTTTCTAAAGTCCTTGAAAACCTGAATGACAGATTATTTCTCATGCAAACACTAACACAAAAAGGGCAGAAAATTCTGAATTCACATTCAGCAAGAACTTACTGCTTTTGTACTTTTATGGCCCAGGTTTATACATTTAGGACCTAAAAACCAGACATTTTCCTCAGAACAGAGCTAAAACACCTACCTTCATCAGGTGGACTCAAATTACAGTAAATGATTGTGTTTACTGCTTGTTTCTGCTGCCCCTGAATGTTAATTGATTTCTGAACGTGTTGGAAAATTTCACTTGGGAGAAGCTACTAATCTTATTCAGTCAAGTTATAACAATATCTACTGACCTTTCTGTGATGCGTTTAGGCAAAGGTCAACAGGTCAAATGTGAAAGGTTACAGAATCATTTAAGTGTCATGTCAATATCAGTGACATTATTATCTTATGTTATGTGACCATGTCTACTGGGTTCATAATATACTGCTATTACATACATGTATTCTCTGAGTGTCATCTTCCTGACTTAACATCTAATAAGCTGGTGTTTTTTTGTCAATACCCTGCCTCTAATGCATGCACTTACACACATTTACTCCTGGGAGGTGTCCAGTGCAACCAGAGTCTTCTCTGGTGCGCTGCCAGTCAAATGTGTGGACACACTTTCCAACTGAATTGAATTAGAAAGTGTGTCCAAACCTTTGCCTGTTGTATGTCACTAACTGTGTAGCAGTTGGTAATTAAGTGGCTGGCTGAACACCACCTCACCCGCAGTAGCTAAGACAGGGCTATTTCATGTTTTCTTTCAGCGCTAGCCCTGGGATTTAAACTGGCAACATTCTGCTCCTGCGCCCGCCTCCCTGGTGTGTTTGTTTGCGTCTGTTTGAGTGACTTACAAAGGAGAAGTCTGGAGCGTTTTGGCACAGCAGTCTGGGGAAGACAGCCTGTCTCTGGACACGCTCTTCGTCCTCGAACACATTGCCGTACATGAAGCCATTCAGCATGGTGGAGTGAGCATGAACATCAATGTAGAACTCCAAACTCACCCTCTGATGGAGGAAAAGAGGAAGGAAGAAGAGTGAAAGAGAACAGAGGAACAGAGAAACAGACAGAAGATAGAAAAAACTGCAGGTTAGTGAAGAATACTGGATATTTTTCTGACACAGTGAGCAACAGTCCACACCACAGATTCTCCACTGGGGGCAAGGGAAGCCTCTCTGTTCTCTTGTGAGACTGTGCTGTAGAGAAGCTTTCACCCATGGGATGACTACAAATCCTCCAGACACTGTGTATGGAAAATATACTGTACGCTCATACCTGAAAAGAGCCAACCACCCACACATAACTTCAATCAGGCTGTCCTTCTGAAGGGCACAACAACAGTGAGCTGAAAGGAATATGGTGTAAAGACACACACACATATTATCTCATGTGGATGTCACAGATTTGTCACATAGCCCATATTTATCAGGTTAATATTGACTTCATATTTCTTCATAATTTCTTTGCTCTTCAACACACACTGTGTAAAATGGATTTGATAGGATATGTTTTTGGCTTGAATCTTATCACTCAATCTGCAAACATCCGAACAAAGACACAAACAGACACACACACACACACACATACGCACACTTGTACTTCGATCTTTGTGAGGACACTCACTGACATACTGCATTCCTTAGCCTCGTACCCTAATACTTAACCTAAACCTAATTCTAGCCTGAACCCTAAAACCAAGTTGTTTCAGAAAGTGAGGACTGGCCAAAATGTCCTCACTCTGTAGCTAAAAAAAAAAAAACCTCACACATCTTGTGACGCAAAAACAACTTGACTTATCCTAGCTCTACCTATAGCACTCATTGTGTTGCACAGTTTTGTTATGCACACTGACTGAAGGTGAAATCCATTAAGTCCATGAAAAATCCAGATGCTGTAAATATCTAGTGCTTTCTTACTAGAATATTGCTCAGGAGCACAACACTGAGCAGCCATTGTTTTACCAACTCTATATTACACACTAATTATTTTTTCTCTCGGTATATTTATACTGGAATCAGGTCTCATTTACATCTTACGTGCTTTTCTACCCCCTTCTGTAATCTTTTCCGCTGAAAATAGACATGGAAAACCATCAGCAAGAAAATATGCAAATTAAAGAATGAGATCATAAATGATATTACATAAATGATTAACACTGCCAATAGCATCACATAATCTTAGCAGCCATTGTGGAGGACTACACACTAGTTCTAACTTGGTAGGTAGCATGTTGACATAGGATGGACCATATTCCACAATATATTTAAAATTATTGGACTTCAAGAAGGTTTCCAAATTTAAATTGAGTGCAGCGTTGCAATTTGAATGTTGTTGCTTATCATTTATCTTTTGAGCAAATACAAAATAATAAAACATATTCCTTCCATTCTGCCACAAGAGATTGGACTTTAATGATTGGAATTCAACCATTAACTGTTGCTGAGACAAAGTTAATGTATTGTCATGTAGTTTCCAATTTCTCCGTATTAGTAATGGTGATAGTATTATTTCAGCCATGACTTATTTTCAGGTTGTTGGAAAACTTTTTAATCAGTTCAAGATACTGCTCAGTGTAGTTCCATGCAATTTAACTTAAAACACAGACCTGCTTTCATCTCACTTATAAGATTGTCCTCACCATTTATGAATTCACATAATGTATGCTAACTAACATATATGTTAAATAACAATCCAATCGCAAAAAAAAAACAAAAAAAAAAAAAACTGTCCCGTATTTCTTTGCACCCACGGTTAAACCAGCCAGGATGTGAAGACCAGCAAAATGACCTTGGTTGCCAAAAACCTGCTCATGTCAGTGGTCTTAAACTGGTTCTGACAAGGGCAGGGATACAAGCCCCATACACTCTGACCCCTAACTCTGGAACAACACCAACCAGCATCCCTCCTCTCTCTATCTTATCACACCATTACCCTTCTCCTGGTCTTTATCCCTCGCTTCTTCTTCTTCTTCCTGCTCCTCTATATCACCCTCCCTCTCTCTCCCTCCGCTCATTACACACTCAGCACCATACCTTGTTCCCCGTGGGTCGTAAAGAGGAGGGGGGGAAGGGAGGAATAGGAGGATGGGAAAGGAAAGCAAAAGATAGTGGCAGCAAAAGGGGAGGCATGGAGTGAGAGCAGAGAGAGGAAACTACAAAGACAGACAAAAGACAAAGAGAGAAAACGGTGCATAATGGTTGTGGGAATGTGTGTGTGAAGAGATAGAGGGGCAGGAGAGAGCAAACAGAGAAAACATATAGAAATGCGGGTGCAAAGAGAGAAAAAGGGAGGAAATAAGTACATAAAGGCAAACAGAGAAAGAGAGAAAAGAGAGAGAGACATAGAAATGTGTGTAGAGAAGTGTAGAGAGACTGACAGGGGAGAGAGAGAGAAAGCGAGAGGAAAGTGGTGCTTGGGCAGCCCGAGTGATGCAGCGTGCCTGTGTTTGAAATTCCACTCACAGCCAAAGCAATTTCCTGGTGGTGGCTGTGCTGTCAGTTGCTTGGCTGGCTGGCGGTGAAATATGGTGGCTGCGAGTCGGCCGCTAGCAGCCCCCGACAACCTGATGGATGGAGCCCCAGAGGAGAGGAACAGCAGCAAGAGAAGGTGGGGGAGGAGGAAGAAGGGAAGAAGAGGACAGTGGGAGGGAGAAACAACAGAAAAACAATACAAAGCAAGAGGGGGGAAAAGACCAGTGCAGCCAACTCAACAGTGGTGGTGATGGGAGGTAGGGGGAAATATATATGAAGAGAGACATAAAGGGAGGGTTAGATAACAGATGAAAAGAAAGGTGGGGGACAAAAGGAGATGGGGGAGCACAGACAGACAAGGAGGCAGTGAGAGAGGTAAAGCCAGCTCCATTAGGTCTAGAGGAGGGAAACGGGCCTAATAATCACCTGGGTCTCCACCCTCTGGAGAAGGTGGAGGCTGACAGGAGGAGGGGGTGCAGGTGGTTGAATTTGAGGACCGTGGACAAGCAGGCGAGCAAAGGTGGTAGACTGAGTGTAACAGAGAGGGACATACTTTGAAGCAGTCTAATAAAACTCCACCTTCGTGTAGCTGCGTTTCATATCACTGCATTCTGAGTACATTTCACAGCTTAACAGCACTGCCATATTGTAAACACTGAGATGTTAAAGACTAAATTCAACAATTCCTTGACTGAGTGAAAGAAAAAATTGCAAACATTTGGATCAGTTAATTAAAATCATGAATTACAGTTACACTTTTTAAAATTTTATGTCTTTGGGTTTTGGATTATGGAAAATGTGAGGGTCATTTCCCACTTGTTTTTGAACATTTACTGTAGATATATATATATATATAAAAATAATCATTAGATGCAGCCCTGTTTCTGAAAAACATCTGCTTATAGACTACACTTTATCCTTAACAAAGAGTCTTAGGGAGCCTTTCCCAAGCTGTTGCCACATAGCTGGAACTACATGAAACATTTTACTGTGGCTTTAAGATTTTCTCTATTTATCTAGCCTAAACCATGAAAATAACAACAATGTGGATAGGGCTGTCTGTATACTTTGTCCAAACAGTTTTTATGTTGAAAAACAGTGTGCAGTAACACTGAATTAGAAATGTATCTTTATGAACTGAAAGGAAAATTGAGCCTTTGGAAGAAGCCCACACAAATACAGAAACACAAACACAAAGTGCAAACTAAATCTAATTAAATTTAGTGTGTTCTTGATCTGATTCTAGCCCACAAGGTTTCTCCTTCACAGCATCATGTGAAGGACAGTAGACGGGCAGCATTAACAGCAGTTATAGCCATGGAGCCTGCACAATGTCATCTCCAGTCTGATTACAGTACTCAGTTAATGCCCTGTCAGTCAAACTGAGACAATTCTGAAGGCCCCTCCGCTGTGATTGATGCTTCAATTAACAACCTGCTCTGACCTCCAGAATTGTTCATTTGAAATTGTAATTAAGCAATTAGGGGCAATTAAGAAACAGACTGCCAAATGAAAGTCATAAGACAATCTTAGAGAGAAACAGAGAAGGAGAGTGAGCTGTCCAATTTAAGATTCGCACAGAGAAACAAAAGCCCTTCTCACTGCAGAAACTCCAGGGAACTCTCAACTTGTGGTGAACCACAGCAGCCGCAAACAGTTTAATGTAAAACCAAGAAGGTCAAATGAATGAATTTTGTCAGACAAGTACTTATCTCCTGCATATTAATTAGAGTGGGGGTGTGGGGTGCGGTGAGGGTCGTAAATGCTGGGGCTTATCTTTGCACGTAAAGGAAAAGGAGCTGATTGAAGCAGGATTACAAGCTCCTGAATAAAGCTCTTGGCATTGACAGCATACAGTACCTTTTGAGAAGAAGAGAAACTGCTGCTCGTTCATCAGAAGAGAGTTGAACTGTGTATCCATGTAAAGCATATTATCAAACATTAAAATCTTAAAAAGTCCATACCTGTGGGAAGAGTTGACATGAATTTCTTTATGTGCAAGACCACACAGACTTCTCAATTCCAGCTGGTGACAGTTGTCAGCTTATATGACAACTGCTCCTAGCAGATCCAATCAGCTTTAGCCCAGCTAGCTGGCTAATAAAACTAATGTTAGCTTTACAGGTTGGTTGGGAATAGTCTCCAGATGACTTTTTAAGCTGTAATGCTGACATTTATAGCTAATTTATTTTAAAAGAGAGAGCATTTTATAAAGATAACAACATCCATGATATTTGTGAAAAAAAACTGAGGCTAAAGCTGCTGGTCCCAGGCAAAAAATTGCTTCCTTAGTTTATGATACACGGCACTGCTTTGGCATTTCATTGTTAAGCTACAGTCCTAAATATGATAAGGACAAATTATGTCCATACCCTCTATAACAGCACAGAGAAGTGCTGCCTGAGCTCCTTCCAAAACAACAAATCACCGTATCAGTTTTATTACGTGGCAATGGGTTTAGGCAAAGATGATGACTTGGGTTAAAATAAGCACTTTAATGAGGCTAGGAAGACACTGTGGTTGGAGTTAAGTGACTA